AGGTCTGGCCCCTCCTGCTCCCTGCTCTGTGGCCCCGGCTGGGCCGGAGGTGCCCCGGGAATGCTACGACCCCTCGACTGCTAGACTGCGCTGCCTGGAGCCAGCCCTGGTAGAAGGCAGGCTACTGTCTTCTCCCGGGGCCGTAAGCCCCTGGGGAGGGGAGATCCGGTCTGAAGGCCTCTGGAGGCTCCTGGCGAGACTCATTCCGGAGAGGGGCTGGCCGCAGCGGGGCAGAGCGTTGGCCCCATGGGCTGCTGGTTCTCATCCGCCTCCTGGTGCTGGCTGCAGCACGTTTCCAGCAGCCAGCCCTTCACTCCAAACACGCGCTGAGTGTCCCAGGTCTCAGCCTGGTTCCCTGCTGGAGCCGCCCTACACAGAGCCGGAGCAGCAGAGGCCCAAGCCCCCTGGGGCTGAGGCAGCCAAGCAGGGGACAGGGTGGGGGATGGGGAGGTTTGCCCTGGCACCTGCCCCTGCTCTGGGGAAGGAGCATGGGATCCATGGGGGGCAGAGAGGGAGGGGCCTGGTTAGGGCAGCTGCCAAGGTGGGGCAGGGGTGCCCCGGGCTACCGATCAAGGGACTGAGGGTGTGAGGCCCATTAAATCTGCAATTGCAACAGGTTCTGCCCTCGTGGGGTCACTGCTTAACGCCGCCACGGTCAGGGAGGGGACGGCCGCAGGGTGCAGTTATTCCAGGGTGCAGAGAGACTCCTGCAGGCCAGGGCTCATCCTGGGGCGGATGCTGGGTACTGTGGGGCAGGAGCTGGCCCTTCATGACTGTACACAACTGCTCTGTGCCACTGAGATGCAGCCACGTCTGGTGTGGAGCAGTAGCAGATGCTTATCCAGGGATCCTCCCTCAGCATGAGTGCAGGGGAAGAGCAGCCCTAGCCCCACCCTGGGCCCCTCAAGTGAGCACTGGGCTGGGTCCTTTGCCTCGCCAGGGGCGCTCCTCAGGCCTTGCAGCCATTTATAAGTTGGGGCTGAATTTGGCAGTGAAAAAGCAAAAAGGAAACGAGTCCTTTTGGGCGGGAGCCAGCCGGGTTCTTTCTCCAGATTTCTTTGGGGCCGGGCCCCAGCCGGCCACGTTGCTCCGCTCTGCTCTGTACTGAGGGGGCTGGCGCTGACCGCAGGGGGAGGGTCACCTGCCCCTCTCCAGCGCTTCCCGGCAGGGTGGGACGCCATTGCAGCCTCAGCCTCTCCCACCCCCTTCTGGCAGCGGCGTTAGTCCGGCCCTGGGTGAAGGCGTTCGTGTAGCGTTGCTCTGAGGCCTTGGGTAGCTCCCCCTTGAGCCAGCTGAATGGTCCCCAAAGGCGCAGCTGCCATGTTCCCCCCAGAGGTGACTGCATTCTAGTGCTGGGGCAGTGAGTATCCCTGCAGCCCGACAGCATCTGTACTTCCTTAGGGCCGGGCCCTGCTCTGTTCTAGGTGCCATCAGCCCCCTCTGCTTGCCGGAGCTAGGCCCTGGGGATGTTTCTGGCCTGGCTCGAGGGCAGTTAGAGCAGGCAGGGAGGTGGGGATCACCCTTGCCCGCATTCAGCCTGTCTGCCCCAGAGCAGCCATCGGGACAGCGGCGTGATGCTGATTCACGCTGGGGGAGGGGGTCTGGCCCAGCTTTGGCTGCAGAAACAAGAGGGTTGTTATAGGAACGACATTAAAAAAAGATGAGCTGGAGTCAGGTTTTTGCAGGGAAGTGCCTGGTTCATGGGGGCGGATTTAAATGGGCAGCAGGGCCAGCAAACTGGGACATCCACGTCATTACAGGGAGGGGAGACGTTTTCCATCCCCAGGTGTCCCTGGCTGGGCTTGAACATGTTCCCTGGGACGAGCCAAATGCCCGCTTGTCATAGTGTTATGCCTCCCGGGTGAGTTTCACCAGAGCGGGAGAGCACCTTCGCCCCAGGCTTTGTACGCAGCTCTCGCCGGTCACAGCCTGTCGCTTGGTTAATGAAATTCAGACAGGCTTCAGCGGGGAGGGAACCTTCATCTTCCCCTGGTTTAAGCTGGGGAAACTGAGGCATGAGAGCACACGAGGGGACCTGCCTGTGGTCACACAATGAGGCAGTGATTTTGTCGGAAGAGAACCCAGGATTCCTGGCTCCCCTGCTCTACCCATTAGACCCCACTCCCTCGAGTGAAAAATACAGCCTTACTTTTCACGTCAGCACCAGGTAACCCTGGCCTATCCCGACAGCTGTTTGTTAGACAATTCTAGGGCGGGGGGGATTTGATGTGGTCAGGGCGCACTGGCTGCTGCCTGGCTTGGCCCAGCTGCGGGTGAGCCGACCCCCTCGCGGTCAGGGGGATCTCCAGCAGGCTTCCCAGCTGTAAGCCGGGGCTTGTGCAACCACTCGGGAGCGATTTAGCCCAGCTGATCAGCAGAGCAGCCATAGCCAGAGGCTTTTGTTTCTGCTGGTGGTGCACATTCACACATGCCTTGATGCATCTAACAAAATTATTCTGCACATGGATGGGAAAGATTAGGGGGAACATTGACCTCCAGTGCTCAGACTAGTTGTGTGGGAGGCAGCGTGACCAAGCCTGTGTTTGATAGCTGCCCTGTTTGGGCATGTGCCTGTCTGGCCCGTCTATCTACTGCAAAGTGCTGTGAGACGGGGGCCATGGAGAAGCCAGGGATCTCCGCCGGATCTCCTGTCTCTGGGGAGTCTTCTCCCAAAACAGGTGTTTCAAGCTTCACGCATGCTCGCTGCCTCAGTTTCCCCATCTTCCTACATGCTCCTTTCTGCTTAGTGTGGCCACGCTCCTCTTGGCATGGATTTTATCTGTCCCCCAAGCGACATATCCCCACATCGCCGAGCAGGCAGCTCAGACACGGGGATGAAGCAACTTGCCCACCAGCCTGAGGGCGGTCGTGGCTGACGCAGTAGTGAACTGCGATCGTGTGAGGCTCCTTTTGCTGCCTTCCCCCTCCAGCATCCTTCCTCTCTCTGGGACACAGCTGCTGAAGATTCCCAGTGCCCAGTGAGGCGACAAACGCGGTGGGTGCTCGGCTGGTCCTTCAGGGGATCGGCATGCGGCACTCAGCCCTGGATCTGGCTCCGGTTTGAGCCCAAACCCTGCTATCCACACACAGATCAGACTGATTCCGGCACAACTCCTAGGAGCCTTCTGGGGGCTGGATCAGCGCCTGACTCCCACTGGCATAAGAACGGCCATGATGGCTCAGACAAGGTCCATCCTGCCCAGTGTCTTGTCTGCTGACAGTGGCCACTGCCAGGTGAATTGAACAGGCAATGATCAAGCGATCTCTCTCCTGCCATCCATCTCCACCCTCTGACAAACAGAGGCCAGGGGCACCATTCCTATCCCCTGGCTAATCGCCATTAATGGACTTAACCTCCATGAATTTATCTAGTTCTCTTTTAAACTCTGTTATAGTCCTAGCCTTCACAGCCTCCTCCGGCAAGGAGTTCCACAGATTGACTGCACCGTGTGAAGAACTTCCTTTTATTTATTTTAAACCTGCTGCCCAATAATTTCATTTGGTGGCCCCTAGTTCTTATAGGAACAAGTAAATAACTTTTCCTTATTCACTTTCTCCACACCACTCGTGATTTTATAGACCTCTATCATATCCCCCCTCAGTCTCTTCTTTTCTAAGCTGAAAAGTTCCAGTCTCTTTAACCTTTCCTCATGTGGGACCCGTTCCAAACCCCTCGTCGTTTTGGTTGCCCTTCTCTGAACCTTTTCTAATGCCAGTAGATCTTTTTTGAGATGAGGAGACCATCTGTACACAGTATTCAAGATGTGGGCGTCCCATGGATTCATATAAGGGCAGTAAGATATTCTCCATCCCTTTTTTAATGATTCCTAACATCCTATTTGCTTTTTTTACTGCCACTGCACAGACATCTTCAGAGAACTGTCCACAATGACTCCAAGCTCTTTCCTGATTAGCTGTAGCTAAATCAGCCCCCATCATGTTGTCTGTCTAGTCGGGGTTATTTTTCCCAATGCGCATTATTTGACATTTATCCCCGTTAAACTTCATTTGCCATTTTGTTACCCAGTCACTCAGTTTGGTGAGATCTTTTTGAATCTCTTCACAGTCTGCTCTGGCATGGGGGTCCCAGCCCTGTTGGAAGCAGCTCACATTGCAGGCCTGCCACCAGGGGGTCACACACACCCCTTACCCACTGTGCCGCCCCCCATCCCCAACCTCCCTACATTCTGGGGCCCCTTATCCTTCCTTTGTCCCAAGGGTGCCGGGTTCATCCAGCACCAAGGGGGGGGGGTCGTCATCATCATCCAGGGGCAGGCTCAAGCCCTCAGTCTCTGGGTCCAGAGGCAGGTACCTTATGCAGTGCACCCAACCTCCCTCCTGGCAAGGCCTGGGCATCACCAGTGTAACCCCAGGGGGGATGGTCAGGGGCTGGCCTGGAAGCACCGAATCCTTGTTGGGGCCACAGACACCATGTGCAGAGTAGGCTGGTGGGACTCAGGGCCTCATGCAGGAGGGGGTTGCTCTACACCAGGCTCCATGGAAAGCTCTAGCTGCGTGTTGGGGCCCTTGTACATACAACACCTTGTCTAGCCCAGCGGGTGTCACACTAGAGGGGGACGACCCAGGACCTGGCTGTGGAATGTCAGGCGCTGGGTCTGACTGTACATACAACGCCTTGTCTAGCCCAGCGGGTGTCACCCTAGAGGGGGACGACCCAGGACCTGGCTGTGGAATGTCAGGCGCTGGGTCTGACTGTACATACAACGCCTTGTCTAGCCCAGCGGGTGTCACCCTAGAGGGGGACGACCCAGGACCTGGCTGTGGAATGTCAGGC